GGGGGGGCGCTGGGCTGCCCCGGGGCATAACCCGCCCCTACCAGCCGCCGCCCCTTTGTTCCCTTCCGTGATGCGGCGGCGTGAGCAGATCTTCCGTTTGGATATGAAAATGAGAAATGAGTTGAAGCATGCGCATGGCGCGCCCCGGGGGGGGGCGCCCCGGGGGCAGATGAGGGCCCGTGCCTACATGGTGGGTGCAGGCATGCGCGCCCAATGTGTTGCGTGTGTGTGTCGAACAAGTGGCGTTGTGCCCCCAAGGGAGGGCGCGGGTGTGTTGTCGCAAGCTTTGATCTTGTCGCACCCGTCCGCGAGGGCAGGTGGGATGTGCAGCGCGCACGCGCGTGGGTCCGGTGCACTCCTTTCAATATACAGCGCCTCAAGGGCAAGCAAACGCGCGCCGTCGTGCGCCGTGTGCTTTCACCAGCCGCCTGTCAGGCGGCCCGCGCCGGGCCGGATGCTGAACGCCCCCAGCCCCAACGTGGCCTCGTCGATGGTCGCCAGCCCACCCATCCCGCCGAGCACGCCCGTCGTCGCCGGCGCGCAGCCCATGGGGCCGCTCAGGCAGGGGCCGGAAAGCGCAAGGTCGGCGCCGCCGTAGAGCAGCGCACCGTCAAAGATCGGCGCAGAAGCCACCCCACCGGGCGCGCCGACGGCATGGGGGCCCGACATGAAGCACCCAGAGGGGTCGCATATCAGTGCCGCCGTGGGCGCGCCGCCCACGCTGCCGCTGAAGACGGGGCAGGAGAGCTGCTCCCCAAAGTCGTCGGCCGGGCCGTAGGCCTGGCAGAACGCGCCGCCGCCCGCGGGCCAGAGGATGCCGTCGTTGCCTGACAGCAGCGGCGCCTGGGGCGAGGGGATCGGCAGGACCTGGGGCCCCTGGTCGCCGCAGACCCCTGCGGCCACGAGCTGCTGCATCAGCGCGTCCTGCTGCAGCTGCCGCATGCCGGCCTGCTGCTGCAGCTGCTGCAGCTGCAGCTGTTGCTGCTGGAGCTGCAGCAGCGCGATCTGGAGGGACAGCGCGTCCGCGCCGCCAGCGGCGCCGGCGCCCTCGGCGGCGGCGGCCTGGGCGGCGGCTTGCGCGGCGGCGAGCGCCTGCGCGGCCGCGTTGACGGCCGCGGCGGCGGCGGCTGCGGCGTTGCTGACGCCCTGGTTGGGGGACGCCGGGTCGCTGGCGGCGACGGCTGGTGGGTGCTGCGCAGGGTTGCATGCGAGGGCGCCCTCGCTCAGGCGGTGCTGCTGGGGCGCCCAATCGGGCAGCATGGGGCGCATGTCCAGGGTGCGACGGCTGCCACGAACGGCAGGGACAACATTGGGCTCGCTGCAGTGCTTCTGCTGCTGCGGCAGCGCCTGTGGCCGTGCAGTGGCCGAGGACGGCCGCACAGAGGGCAGTTGCTGCGGGCTGGCCGCTTGTGCTATGCGGGACCCTGCCGCGGCAGCGGCGCTGTTTGACTGCTGCTGCTGCTGCTGCTGCTGCTGCTGCTGCTGCTGCGGGTGATGGTGGGCTGCGGCGACACCGGTCGGCGAGCCGGGCGCGTTGGGGGAGGTGGTTCCGCCGGCGGGTGTTGAGCAGCTGCTCGCGTCGCTAGATGCGCTCGGGGCGGCCGCGAGCACGCGGGCGCCCCCGGGAATGAAAACGCCCGTGCCGCCGTTTTTGTGCTGCCCAGACTGCACCATGACGGCCATAGGGTGCCACGCTCCATCCGCCCACGTCGGAGCGCAGCCCGCGAGGCCGGCACCGCCGGTCACAGAGCGTGCTGCGGCTGAGCGACGCTGCTGCAGCTGCTGCGCCTGCTGGACCTGCTGCTGCAGCGTGGGCGCGGCGCCGCCACCAACAGCGCGGGCGGCGGCAGCCAGGGTTGGCGACTTGCGGGAGCGTGCTTCAGAAGCCTTGCCACCGCTGCGCCCCGTGGAGTCCATATTCTTGCGCTGGGAGTCCCTGAGAAATGGGTTGATCGCGGGGAGCACCGTGGGACTGTGACCCTCAGTAGGATGTTCGCGGCCAACGACTGGGACACAAGGTGCGGTCCGCTTGCTGCACTCCCGCATGTTAAATTAGAGTCTTCTATCTTTGAAAGCCTTGAAACGCTGTTCAAAGCCAGGTTAGGCCCGCCAGCGCTCTCGGAGAAGGCCGCCCAGTCGGCTTGAGTGCCAGCTGCGCGAGGGCCCTGCCGCCACCCATTGTGTCATTGATACTATGCGCAACAGGCAGCGCATGTGAATGCTTCTCACCCGCCCCGGGTGGCAACGTCTGATTGATGATCACTCCCGGGGACCAGGACACGACAGCTGCCAGCAGCCTCGGTCATGGAGTCTTTGTTTGTCTTTGAGCGGGACTGACTTGATGATTGGCACATTTACTGGTTCAAGAAAGGCCCGAAATGCGTTCGGCAGACTGCTTCACGAACAACTCTGCTGTGATGCAAGATATGATGTACAGTGTCTCAAGAAAATACTCTGTTCACATCTGTAAGATTCTTGGTCCGTCCCTTGGGATGTAAAGATGGGAACAGGCGCCTGACAGGAGGTCTGCGAACTTCTCCTCACCGTTCTTTTGCGTTGTGGAGCGGGTGACTAGGCTGCGTCATACTGGCATTTGATGGCAGTGAAAATCACTCTGCTGCACACCGAGAAAGCCGCGCTCTGTCATCGCCGCTTGCCCCGCCGCCACCTGAAGCAATGATGCGCACGAAGCACGGTGGCGAGCCGTCGTCGCTGGCTGCGGAGGGCGCTGCTACCCCCATCTCTGCCTCCAGCTCCTCTTCTTCCTGCGTGTGCAAGCGGCCGGGTGGTTGGCGTGCGTTTGCGCTCATCTTGCGCCAACGTCATGCGCGCGCCAGAATTCACGCGCGTGCGTGAAGCTCGCAGCCTATGCGAGGGGCCAGCCGAAGCGCGTGAAAGCCTGGAAATGTACATCCGGACGGGCATGCCGCACTTGCCAATCCACTGCCTATTTTTGAAGCCTTGATGCGCGCAAAACCGCCGTTCGCTGTTTGTCCGTCCGAAATTCCCCGGGCGCCCCTGGCCCAGTGCAGTGCAGTGCAGTGCATGGGGCTGGGGCCGAGGGGCACGGCAGCCGACCCCCCGAACCCGTCATCAACCCCTAGCTATGGAAGCCGCCCGCGATGTCCGCCAGGCCCTCATACGCTCTTTAGCATCCCCCAGAGTCCGCGAGGTCCCACCTGCCCGGCGAGCGGCCCCGCCACGAGAGCCAGCACCCCTTGCGCCCCGGGCCGTGAGCCCCACTCCTGCTCCACCGCCGCCGCCTCTGCCAGCCGCTGCTTCGCCGCGCGCGCCCCCCGCCCCTGCTGCCGCGCGCGCTCGTCCTCCTCGCGGCAAGCCGCCAGGTCCTTGTGCGCGCGTCGCGAGCGCCCACGCGCTTGCACGGCCCGCTGCTGCGCCCTGGCAATGCGTGCATGCAGCGCCTGCCGTGCGGCAGCACCACCTGACAAGCATGCGGGCACGCGCGCGCGCGTGCGTGTGTGTGTGTGTGTGTGTGTGTGTGTGTGTGTGTGTGTGTGTGTGTGTGTGTGAATGCGCTGCATCACGACAGGTCAGCGCATCTCGTGGCAACCTTTGCCGCACACCACCACGTCCAGCACTCAGGTACCATGCACGCACCTTCCAGCACGCGCGCTCGCTCGGTCTGGGCCGCCCCGCGCTGCTGCCGCCGGCTCTCCAGCAGCTGACGGCGCAGGGCCAAATTTTCCAGGGCGCACGCCACACCGCGGCGGACCGCCTCATCGTACTGCTGCTGGATGGCTGTCAGCAGGGGCCTGTACGATGCGCCAAAGCCCCTGATGAAGGCGGCAAACACCTTGGCGTGCGTTTTTGTGATGGTGGTGACAGCGGTGGTCGATGGGAGCGCTTCTGGTGGGACTACGATTGCACTACCCTCTGCAGTTGATGCACCGTCTTCTCAAGCGGCAACTAACTCCATCAAAGCATCACCAGCCCCGCCTGCAGGGTTGCGAACGGCGCGTTAGGCGAGGGCCTCCGTCGTCAAAGCCCTGCGCCGTTTCCACCCAATGGCCCTGGTGCAGCGCTCAAGCCGCTCACCGTGCTGTGCGCCTGTAGCGCCAGGTTCGCTGCTCCTTGGGGGTCGCGCGTGCGGTGCGGCCCCGCGCCAGCGAGGCGCACCGCGGCGCCAACCTCGTCCAGCAGCAGCGCCTCCAGCGACTGCAGCAGCAGCGGCTGGCGCGCGTTTGAGGCACGAGGTGGGAACGTTTCAATCTGGCCGGCTGCGTCCATGGCTATGCTGAGTCCTGATCCAACTGATTGCGGAGCCGCGTGCTGTGAGATGCTGCTGGCGGGGCGCCGACACAACTGGAGAGTGGTCGTGCTTTGTAAGGGCAGCCGTGCTAGCCACAAGATTCCTTTGTTGAATCGTCTCTGTTAAATTTGTACAAAGTGCCCCAAATCGTTGTTGACCGACGACGCGACTCGCTGAAGGCGGTCTAGCAAGACCTGTAGGACCGTACGCACGATATGTTGATCAGAAAATGAATGTGTCAGGCTGCGCATCCTGCACCTGCCGACCACGCGCTGCCTTGTACATGCATGACCTGTGAGTGAAGGTGATTCGTGTGCCAGTGACTGCATCCCAGCTGGGCTCGACCAGATAGCCCTGGAAGGGGAGGGAGTTCCATCTGCGCACCAGGACATCCTGATCAACACCCTCTGTGTAAGTTTACACTCGCAGTGTAGAATACATTGTGAAGGAACTGCCGTACACCGCAAGAGAACTGCCGCGCCCCTACTGCCGCCTACTTCTTGCCCTTCTTCTTGTCGGCGGGCCGCTCCTCCTCATCCTCCTTCAGGATCCCTATGAACTCCCGGAACTGCACGCGGGGTGCGGGTGGTTGCAAAAGGGGCCGTGGGTTGCGGGCGCTGCGCTTCAGGAAGTGTCGAGCAAAGGGGGCGTTTCAAGGGTCTACTTGTAGCACTGCTGCCGCCGCCGCTGCTGCTCCTTCTGTCGCAACATTCTTGCTGCTAGCTGCTGCTGCTGCTGCTGCTGCTGCTGCTGCTGCTGCTGCTGCTGCTGCTGCCACCGCCGCCGCCAGGGCTTCTTCGCCGCCTCTGCCACCGCTGCCCATTTGCCGCGGCTGCTGCTGCTGCTGTGCCCGTGAGCAGTCGTACCAGTTCCTAGACACGCCTGCTGCCCCTCAAGTGCGCGTGCCAGCTGCCGTATCCATGTGTGATGCACACCAGCCCCAAAACGCGGCCGCACCTCTGTCTCGGCCATGTTGAGCTGTACAACCTTGCCAGTGTCAGAGTCCTCGTACTCGATAGGCTGGGGGTGGGGTGCAAACAAGTGGAGGGCTCCGTCAAAAAGTCATGAGCTGTCATAGATGCATGCAGTGCTCCAAAGGCGAGAATCAAGATTGATGAGGTGCAGTCATGTGCCAGGGGCAAATTAGGCCCGTCCGGTTGGTGAAATAATGGGCATGGCCGATTGGGAAGCTGGGGGTGGCCAGGGGTACGCACGCCGCCGCCACTCTGAGATTCCGTCGTTTCACACGCCCACCCACCTGCATGTTGTCTTCCCATGAGCCGTCAGAGAAGAGCATCAGCAGCACGTAGTCATCAGACAGGTCAACCTGTCGGCGGAGCACGGGGACGTATGGGGTTGAGGTGGTCCCCTAGTTGACCAGTCGACCAGGAGTGGGCAGCAACAGCTTTGGCCCACCAACACCCAGACGCATACTCCAGCACTCAGGACCGCAGACCGTTCAGCGAACAGTGCAGTGCGCGCCACGCGCACGAGCAAGCGCGCCGCACAAGTTTTCACTTGTACACGAGAGCGGGTCACATTCTTCGTAAGAACACAGCTGCCGCTGCCCCCACACACTGCCCGCGCCTGCCATGGGCCCCGCCCACCTGCGGCAGGCCCTCGGTCTCAATGGCGTATATGTTGCCCTTGCCGTCGCGCAGCAGCAGGGCCCCGGGGACCTCCATGTCCAGCCGCACCGCAAACCACTCGCCCTTGCGGCTGCGCAGCTGCACGCGGCCGTCCAGGCCGCGGCGGATGTTGTAGCGCGCCCTGGGGTGAGTCGGAGAGGGCCGGACGGAGTGGGGGCGGGGGGTTGGGTGGGGGTGCGTAGCGGGGCCACCGTGTGTGGGATGGAAGGTGCAAACAGTGGGTGCGTGTCGGAGGGCTGGGACGGACCGGCCTTGTTACCGCATGTGCAAACGCAGCACGGCGTCATGCAGACATGGGCGTTGCAAACTTGTAGGCACGCTTTTGTGTCCCATCCGCATGTGTTGCGTACACATCGCACCAACAGCTACAGGAGCAAAGCGTGCACGAGGATCCACCATTGGACGTTGCCGATTGCACAGACGCAAAGCCCGGGCGCAGCACTCCGCAGTACGCACACCACGGCGCAGCGCAGCGCGCACCGGAATTCGTCCAGCTGCCGCCTGTCCTTGAGCTTGCCCTTCGCCTCCTGAGCCACATACTCCTCGAGCGCGCCAGCCTGCGGCGCATCGCCTGCTGCGCGGCTCGCCCCCGGCGCAGCCAGCAGCGCAGCGGCGGCGGCGCCAAGCCCGAGCAGCGCGGCGCGCCGGCCACTGGCGCTGGTGGTTGCGTCTGGCCGCGGCTCGGTGTTATCGCCGCCTGTGCGCAAGTGCTGCTGAGTGTTGTGCTGCTGCTGCAGGGTCGCCCGAGCGGCGGCTGCGCCGATGCTGCTGCGGCGAGCGGCAGCAGGGCATGCAACGGGCGCTGTCCGCATGTTGGGAATCACCCTCATCACGTGCTGCTGCTGAGAACTATAACAATGAGCTTGGGGTGACAGTCTAAGCTCGGCGAGATCAGCGAATGCTACCTTCGTGAATGCAGCGAACGTGAACGTCGAGGCAATAAGTACTACCTGAGTGATTTACAATAAGCACTCAACTCACACTGCCCGCACCGATGGCTGCATGCGATACCGTACAGTCAGCAATCTCAGCAGCTGCCAGTGGTCAACGGAAGACTGCACTCTCAGGCATTTGCGCGGGAGCTTCACGGCTGGTTGGGCCTTGCCGTAAACTTGGGCAGCCTTCAATATCCGTCAACATCAGGCCGGGCCGCGTTTGTTACACCAAGCTCGCTGCGCTGGGCGAAGGCCCCTCAACAAACGGCACCCCGGGATGCTGGCCCGCAACCCCCCACCCATGAATGCCTGCCAGCTAAAATTACAAGATGCGGGCCAATAGCCCAGCAGCTGAGCCTATAGCTTGGCAGCCGACCCGTCTAGGCTCTCCTGCACCGCTCTGGTCGATCTCTCCTCTGCGCCTTGCATGCGGCGGGCGCGCGCGCGCCCGCGCACGTCCGCAGGCCCCCCTCCTCACGACTTGGCCAGCGTCTCCCCCCGGTGGTCGGCCTGCGCGGCCACGACAAAGCCCGGCCCCACGTGGCAGTCCTTGAGCGCCGCGCCGTCCTGGACGGACGCGCCGCCGCAGAGCACGCTGTTCTGCACGTGGACGCCGTCGCCGAGCGACACGCCGTCCATGAGCACGCTGTTGATGACCTTGCAGCCGGCGCCCAGCCTGGGGGCGCACCGTGTCGTGTTTTTGAGTGTGCATGTGAGAAATACATGCTCCGTGCCCGCGTGCCGGCAGCGTGAGTGGCATTGCCCAGATGCAGCTGGCGCTGACGTACACGAGATGGGTGTGCACCCTGCAAACGCAGCGCCTGGGAAGGCTGGCGCTCGCTCAACGCATTGCCCCTGCAAGGCAGCGCTGGCCCGCGGCCGCGGCGGCGCGCCGCGATTCGGAGCCGCCGCAAGGGGGAGCGAGGGTGCGAGCGGCTCCGCCCCTCACCTGCAGTTGCTGCCGATGATGCTGCGCTTGACGCTGACCTTGTCACCCAGGGCGGAGTGGTCTCCGACGATGCAGGCGGGGCCCACCTGAACGAGGCCGGGGTTCAGCAGTGTACAGACAGGCGCTGAAGAACAGGCGGGCAGCTTCCGCAA